GCGCACATTCCGAATGCGTGGCACCAAAAAAGTTCGCACTGGTGCGCACTAGTGCAGTTTGTCAAATTCGCCATTAATCCTCAATGCAGGTTACTAGACATAGAGAATCGCATTCTGGTTACATTTATCCAAAACCATCAAAATAAAAAGCGTTGCAACCTTTCTGTGACCAACTGTATGTAACGTGATTTCCGACCTGCGAATGTGTGGTGCGTTGCGTCCACGTTTGCGAACTGCGTTTTGTGTCCTGCGACTTATGTAGACGGGGCTTTACAGTAGCTAATACAATCCATGCATCGACATCTAGGCGGTATTCATAGTCCAAACTGAAGAGGATGAATTTTTACTCCGAACAATTTCTAAGAAATCAATTTCGAGAAATCAATGTCCGTTTTTGGAGAGAACAGTGGTTCACAATGGTCCACACTCTGCAGAACTGAAGTTGACTCTAACTTTATCGTAAGTAGAGCTTGTAGGTTAGGGATAAGTTATGTCATATAATTATTATATATCTAATTGTTCACGTATCTAAAATTCTTTCACACTTTGTATAGGTTTCTTGCACATAATGATAATGTAAATTCCAAAGCATGGGAATTTCATATTGGATGCTCCACTATATCATATATGTCATTATTTACGAAGTCTGTTGTGCATCGTGGCATACACTTTAACCAATAATTCTTTCTGAACTTCATGAACAGAAATGGTCTGAAATTGCTAAAGGTTTCTTCAAGAAGTAGCAGTTTCTGAATTGTGAGAGCTCTCGATGGAAAACACATTAAAATTCGAGCTCCAATTTATTTAGAAAGTCAATTTATTAATTATAAGAAGTACTTCAGCATTATTCTTTTGGTAATATATAATGCAAATTATAAATTTGTATGGGTGGACATTGGGCAATATGGTAAATAAACATTCCTTGTATTGGAAATTTAATTATGGTTGCAATGTTTTAAAAAAATGTATCCATGATTCTTTTATATTTTTTACAAGAGGTATCAGCGACAGCGATGTATGGAGTAATACTGAATTAGCAGCTGGAATGCGAGAGAAAACTGCTGAAATTCCAGGTCCTCGGTATCTCCCAGGGACAGCAATAAAAGCCAATCATGTATTTGTAAGCGATGAAATTCTCTCTTGATCTTCATTTATTAAAATTTTATAGTAAAAGAAAAACTGAAAACTGATGGATTTTTACATAACTATAGATTGTCAAGCACGCTTAAATATTGAAAACACGTTTGATTTCTTTGTGCACGCTGGCAAATTCTCAATAAACTTACACAATTCTCTTTAACTAATTTGGAGGAAGTAACATTAAGAATATCCGAAAAATGGGAGACAATTCTCAAATGCTGCACAAAGAGATGTCTTGTGCGAATCTTTTGTAACAGATACAAAATATGTTGGATACAAATAAACCTCTAGCAATATTTTTAGAAGTGCCAACATTAATACATAGATGTAATTAAAATTTGCAATTTATGCTTTTAATCTATTACTTAATTAATTGGCAATAAAAATAATATTATTTAAAAATGTCACATTATACGTTACTATAATTCTATAATCCTTTTTTTATTTACAGATTGTTTCTTTTTTACGATCACACTCAAAATGTCTATGTTGCAAGAGCTATAACTTCAAGACTGAGATCTAAAGTAAACATGACCTATTATTCTTTTACTACATTGAGTGAGTGAATAAGTGGGTACATAAAAATATATTCTAAATGCAGTAATGCAGATTTATTTGGAAGAAATAGGTATTTTCAAATATAACAGATATGGTATTAAAAGACAAGCACTTATGAATCCATCTATAATCAAAACTGTTCGATATGTATGTGGATATTAAAAGTATATTTGTTTTTATTTTTCATACTATAATTATTCCATTATAATAACTCGTTTGTATTACCATTATAATAACTCGTTTGTTATGTCTATGATCAATTCAAACTTAATTTCAACATCCAATAAGGTTATCTTTTCTTTCGCCAGTTTGTACAATTTTACATAGATATCATAAATTAACATACTAACAATAATCAAAACAATAGTCGTCAAATGTTGGAAGATAATATATATCTGTCACTTTATTTTTTTTTCTGAACTATCGCCCGAGTGAAAGAAAAAAGCATTTTCTATCTAAAAGGCAATATGACGTACAAAAATCTATCATTTTATATTTTTTCTGTTACAATTACAAGTTCTCTCGGACGGAGGAAGTGATTTGTGACTTCTATAGCTAAAACCCTGTGTTCACGATGCTAGAAATCGGTCCAAGATCTTAAAAAAAGGATTGATCAATCACATTGGTCATATAACCAATGCCTCAAATGTGATTTGTTAATGCTTTAAGGCCCGACTGTCTCTGTCTCCCTTTCGGCTTTAAAACGAGATAGATAGAGTTTTAAGTCTCGCTTAAAATCAAGAAGTGTCGGTGCAACCGGACCTTAGAGATCGCAGATAAGCGTCTTGCTATTGCAAGACTTGGGATGACTTGCACGAACAATCCTGATGGCGAATTCGACAGACTGCTCTAGTGCGCACCAGTGCGCACTGAGTGCGAACTTTTATGGTGCCACGCATTCAGGA